GCAGGAATAGAAAAAACACCAATAAAAACCTGTAGCAGCACTATGTTATCAATCAAAACTAACTCAAGCTATCTTACAGCAGTTGCGAGGATAAACAGTCGCTAGAGCATGTATGATATTCTTTCCAGTATCCCAAGCTAGACCTAAAGAATGAGACAGAGAAAGAATAGTAAGATAGAAGGAACGGTAACAGATACAGTCCAAAATATATCTTTCTATGACTGTTGTCTCATGAACTAGAAAAAAATTAAGTTTGCCCTTGCATCATGAAGTATTTACTTGACACTGTCAGTTGGCAAGGAAAGGGAAAAAAAACTTCAATGGAACATCAGCCTTCACTGGAACAAAGCTGCATGTTAGCCTGTGTACAGTGCCCTTCATTGATAAGTCAGCTCCTTCTGCCCAGGGAGGGGGAAGAATTTGTTGAACTTGTGTTTTCATTTCAACAGGAACTAGCAAGTTCCTACTCCTGCTGCGTGGGGACCTCTCTCTTTTCATTAGACTGTTGTTTCAGCATTACTAATCTCCAAGCAGGATATGTTACAGTGTTGGCACATGCCAACAATAAGGCAGCAGTCAACAGCCTAAAATAGTTTTGATAACATTAAATCAGCAAGAGCAAACTTACACTACATTAGGAAATGTGTACACCGGAAACTCCACTAAACTGTTTCTGCCAAAATCAACACAGGGACTGCACAGTCACACCTGCAGAATGACAAGGCCAAAGATGGGAGGAACTAAGACCATACCAGTGATTCTCTAAACATACCTAAAGGCTATACTGCCCTCAATAGCTATGTTTTGGTTATTAAATCACTTTTTCCTCAAAGTTTTGCAAGTGTTTATATATTTGAACAAGCAGAAATTTAATTCAGCTCCTGAAGTTGATGTTTACCACACAAGATTTCTCTGATGAATTTGATGACTTTCAACCAATTTTGTTTGGCACAGAGACCCCGCTTAAAAATTCGGGACAGTACAAATATTCAGATAAGAGAAGTTACAAAAATACTTGCTGGCTAAGCATAGGGGAGGCTAAAGGAAATAAGGATAAGACAGCATTTTCATTATCAAGTAATAACACAATGCAGAACACATCTGTGGCTGTGTGCACGATGATAATACTTTATAAGATCTTTAATTTTGAGACTGCAAAGGAAAAGTTCACAACCCATAAACATAAAACAGAAGAGAAAAGGCCCACTTTGATTAAGGACACCAAGGCAAACAAATAGTGATGAAAAATGTGGTATGACTTCATAACATCAATCTACCAGAAACAATTTTCCCTTTTAACCCCAACTGCAAAAACTGCCATGTAGTTTTTGGGAAAACAGCATGAAAGAGAAATGTTTCTGAGCAAGAAAAGGACTTTAAATCACAAAAGTAAACAGTTTTCATGGGAAAATTTATTCATCACATTTACGTCTGATCAAAAATTGTCTTATAAAATGAGTTTCCACATCTGAACATCCTGAAATTTCTGAAAATTTCTGAGTAAATTCTTGTTCATTCAGAAACATGACATTTATGTAAATTTCTGCTTAGAAAGCAAGGATCACCTTGTTTTCCCTCCAGTACCATAGTATAAACCACGACAAGTAACACACTCAACCTGCAAAGAGGGGAGGGAAATACCAGACATTACAAACCACAGAAAAGACACAAATATGAAAAAGAGAAAGCAAGAGAAAATACATAATCTTCTGCAGACTGTATAAAGTCTAAACGAGTGACAAATCAGAAGCAGTTTGCCATAGTGCTAATGTGGCTTTTGATCTAAGATCCAAGTGAGTTAAAAGCTGTATAAAGGACATTTAAATAAAACCAAACAAAATGCAGATGATTATGCACAATACAACTAGCAAAATCCTCCATCTTCACATTTATCTTACAGGAGAATGAAGAGAAGAACTCTGCAGACTCCTTTCCCACCCATGACTGGCATACAAAGGTAAGAAAAGGAAAAAAGGGGAACTGCAGACAATTTGCAGGTGGCTTTTATGAATAAGTTTTGAATACATCTGGTGTTTTAACACAAGCCTTAGAAAGTAATTGCCAGCTGGCTTAAAAAGCAAAACCAAACCTCCCTTCCTGCCCACCCCCACAGCAAGACTGTGTCTGTCATACTGAAAGATATAAACTCTAATTAGGCCCTGGGTACCTCTAGGAGAGATTTTGCTGAAGATGCATGGTGAAAGTAATGGAAGCCACATGCATATATCAACAAGGCAATAGGAAAGCCCAAAAGACATAATTTAAAAATGCTCAGTGTTAATATTATACACATGACTTTCAACTGGAGTTAAAACTGCAAGTTCAGGATAAATGCAGCGTATTCTGAATATTTTGTACATGAAAACAGGAGACACAAGTAATTTGACATCCTTCATTTGGCTTAACATTGCAACTTGCTTCATGCTTCATGTTAATTCCTACCTATTCCTTAAGCACTGGAAGTCTTTGTCTTTATACTGAGATCACATCTTTTATTTTTTCCTCAGATAATTAATCTAACAAAACTCAGATTAGACTTTCCTTCTTTCTATTTTACAGATTATACAGGGAAAACCAAAACAAACCCAACCCTTTTGGTTGGAGCATATAAAAACACTCTCAAATTCCAAACAAATGCATTAACAACATCAATGTGACAAACCATCTTCCTCAGCTTCTGAAAACTGACACTGTCCTTCCTCTACTGAGTTCTGACTCTCAACCTATGGTGAACGTAGCTGATACGCAAACACATCAGAGATCTCCCTTCAGCTGTAACACTGTAGTTTGCTGCTGTGGCTAGAGGACAACAGAGCAACAAGTATCTTAAATTAAAGCTACCAGCAATCATGACTAAATTATTTGATGACAAACCTCTTTTGGGCAGAGAAATCCACTTTATCCCATATTTGCAAAGCTCTAAGTAGGACAGTTTCTAATCTGTGACAGACACTCCTCAGCATTATTGCTGCTTAATAAATAATTAGCTGCCCACTAGTCATCACTGCATCCAC